GGCCGCCCCCTGGGGAGCCGGGCGGGAAGGGCCGCTCCTCCGGCGCGTCGCCGATGCCCATCCTCGGCTCAGCGACCGAGGGAAACCGGCGGGAAGACGGCAACTGCAGTAATCCTAAACCCCGTTCCGCGCTGAAGAAATGGAATTAGGGGAGGACAAGCCCTGCGTGGGCTGGCACTGGGGTGGCCTCCAGCCCGGCCCCTGAGGCACCCGGGCGGCGCGCGCCGCCTCCAAAGGAGCGCGGTCCCCCACATCGGACTGCGGGCAGCTGGCTCCCGGGTGCATCCCCTCCCCGTCTAAACAAAATTAATTAACGAAACAGGCTATCTTCCCGACTGCTGCTCTGCTCCTGACTTGACAATACTTTTCTAGAAATCTCCAAACGGCTCGAGGTTGCTTGATTTCCAAAGAGACAGTCTGGCCACCTTTGGCTTTGAGAAGTGCTTGCTGACAGGAGGACAGGGCACGCCAGCTGCCAAAACGCAAAATCCTTTCCCCCTGCAAAGGGGAAGGATTCAAAGTGTTGCCTGACTTGTGTTCTTCCCACGTCTGCTGGCAACCAGGCACCGTGGTGGGGCTGGAGCAGAGCTGTGGTGGCCACGTGGCACGCCAGCAGCATGGGCATATGGCTGCAGCCCAGGGACCTTGCACCGCCACAATGTAGGTAGCCCACAAACTTTTCCCCCACCTTTGCGATTCACTGAAGTCCCAATCAAGCGATCAGAGCATGGGGGCAGGAAGAGAGCCCAGCAAGCCTGCTCAGGGCCTGTCCCTCGGGAATGCTGTGGTGAAGCACGTGCGCCCTTCTGCTTGCTCGGGCCACCGGTGCCGTGGGGCAGCGGCCTCCCACCAGAAGCAGTTGCAGGGTGGTCAGCACCGCTGTGAGGAGTGACTGTACCACCATCCCCTTCGCGTGGAGGGGCTCTTAAAAAGCTGTTGTGCAGGGTATTTCAGTTGAGGGTGGGAAGTGGAAACAGCTTTAGTCTGGGCTATTTTGTTCATGAACGCACAAAATTTGCCTTTTCTGGGCAAAACCAGAAGATTAGTGTGTCCATGGTGCCAGACAGTGAACTGTGTGGCCGGCACTTCTGCCCCAGGCTCCCCCCTTGGGAGGGGAGCCACTCCTGGAAGGTGCCTCGCCTCTTTGGGGACCCTCGTTGGCCTCTGGGGCCTCATTTCCCTGCCCAAGCAGAGCATGCAAACACCTCTGCCGTTGGCACATTGAGACCCTCGGCTGCTGGGGGGTGGGAGGAGTGGGCGTGCTGCCAGCTGCCCTGGTGCAGGGGACTACGCCTGGGCCCAGGCCAAATTTACAGTTACAGTGAATTTTTTCTTTGCTACCTTGTTGAGTGGATTGGGTGGGTTGCAATTGATCACAGGTCACCTGGTATCATTTTCACTTCTCTAATTGGCAGCATGTGCTTTGGGGAGTAGTGCAGGGAGTGTTTTTGCCTTCCCTTGGTGGTGCTCAATGTGTGTTGTTTAGCTTAGACAAAAGCCTGCCTGTAGCGGAGGAGGGTGTAGTGGCGTTCACTGTAGCAGTGTTTGGATGCAGGCTGCTTGCTGTGGTACCTGGGAGGTTCATCAGTTGGGCTGAATGCGACCAGCTCTGATGGACATCCCCATGGATGTGGCAAGTGGAGGTGGTGGCCCTCGGCATTGCCAGCTGCAGGATCTTCCAGGTGAGTGTGAATGGGGTATCTCTGGTGTTTCAGGAATCGGTGTTTTATGAAATGTTTTTAAGTAATTTGCAATTCACAAATACCCCTTCAGGGTACTGTACTTCAGTGTGGATATAGGCTTGTATTGTAGCCTGTGTAATTGTAAGGCTGATCTCCTTCCACCATGTTTGAGGTAATATTTTATTTTTGTTTTACTTTTTTGAAGTTGCTTGGGAAATCTGGTACAGTGTTCAGTCCTGGTGCAAGACTGATACACTTTCAGGTGAGACCTAACGCTTTGTAGCCAAGTTCCTCCCTGCATTTAGGATACAACAACATGCCTTTGAAATTGTTTACAGCCCACTCATATAGCCTGAAGTTTACCTGGTTTAATTTTATCATGCCCTTCATAAGGTGAGTTCATGAGTGTGCATAAATTTTGGAGTCCTGGTAGGTCTCCCTGCCAAGCCAGCACAACTCAGCTAAGCCACCTTCTGCTTCAAAATTTCTCCCTCTGGTGGGCTACCTAAGCAGTCTGGGTCAAAGTCCCATTTCCTACCGTTTCCTTTTCTTTTGTGGGAAGCTGTAGCAGAGAGGTGTACCAGTCTCGCTGCAGTTGTTCGTAGCAGCCTCTCCCTGAGGCACAACTCACAGCACACCGAGGAGTGTCAGGGAGTTAGGCGGTTACTCTTGGTTCCCCCTGTGTTTGGCAAAGCATCACTCACTACTGAGCGCAGAGTGGGGCGCTCTGCCGGAAGCATGAGCCCAATGCCTTGCGAGGCTTTTGTGTTAGGCTAATCCAGTTTCTTCTTCCTGAAATGAGATTGCTCTCATATTTCTGTCTGGGATTTCTTGAATTAAAAATAGGGTCACTGTAAGACATACACGTGCATAGTTCATTGGGGCTGGGGCACACCTGGCCCCTGCACGCTGGCCGCACAGCAGAGTGTGGCTGTGTGGGAGTTCGTTGCAAGTGGGTACGTGCCGGCCTTGGGCGTGTGAGCTGAGCTGCCTGCGCAGCCGCATGTGGGTACCTGAGGGGCAGGGTTTCAGGCACGAAGACCTCAGCCTGGTCAACAGCAAGCAACAGAAGGAAAGGGAAGTGGAGAAGCATTCAAAATATAAACTTTCCAGGAAAAGAGAGGCTTTAATTTTAATACTTTCCTTCACAGGATAACTTTCTGGTTGTGTAGGAAACCCCATTCTTACCTCTGCTGTGTTTTTTTTTCCCTTTTACTCAACAACCTTTGATCCCTTGGAGGAAAAGTACAGGGAGTTAGCTGAAATGATTAGTTGTTCCTGTAGCTGTTACAGCCCAATTTTTTTTATGGAGATCAAGTAAGATAAACACAAAGCAGAAATAAAAGATAATATAACACAGAAAAGTCAGTTATCTTTTCTGCTGATGATTCCCTAATTTCTTCCACCTCTTCTGCTGGAGAAGCGTGACCACAGCACAAGGCTGCTTGGCCCTTCTGAGACCGAGGAATCCTCTAGCAGCACAGGCTGCCTAAAGCCAGCTATTTTCCTATTTATAGGTTCTCAGTTTATCAGCTTGAAGGCAAAAGAAGTAAAATAAGACCTAATCGGGCCAGGAAGGAGCACATATGAGGTAGAAAGCAGAAATGCTTGATCATAAAATTAAAATCTATATTATAATGCCTATAGGTAATAGGGATGGTCAAAAAAGAAGATTGCTTGTGTGAATTTAATTAGTCTCCTGAGTGCTTAGCTTTGCAGCCTTAATTGTGTGCCTTTAATGCAGTTTGTGGAGGTGACCATAAATGGTTCCTAAGGTCAACAGGCAGACCCTAGCTGCAAGTCTGAAGTTTTCATTAAGAACTTACCATAGTCCATATCTGGAAGTTTAAATATATACTTGAAGTCAAGCTTGAGCTAAAGTGCATCACCCAATATCTGATATGTGAGTGACTATGTTGAAAATCAAGGAAGGAATACATGGTAGTACCCATCAAAGTAACCAAAGCTGCATAAGAGAGGCGAGTGTGATGGGCTTGGTGGCACCTGGGACCCTTTCTGTAACACCAAAAGGAATTTTGGGGCTGAAGATGTCTGGGTGTTGAATTAAACGTGTCTGTGCTTTTGCCTCTTTCAAGTTAGTCTTCAGTGACAACTTGGATCAGTCTCGGATTATG